CATATCCCAATTTTAATTTTATGTATGTTAAAAAGAAACTTTCCGAAAATGAATATTATCTTTTCTTTCAATTTCGTAAAAATAAATATATATTCCGAAAATATTGTAAAAAATTTATTTTTATTCAATTTGAAAGTTAAAATTGGGATATGAAAATAGCAAATGTTATTGGGACAAGAAATCTTAGGTAGAAGGTTAATTTATAAAACACTAATTCAAACTGAGTTAATTTAGCAAATTTCCCTTTTTTATTTACTTTTCTTTTAAAAACGATTGAGTGTAAATTTAATGAAAATAATAAAAAAGGAAAATTGTCAATCGTATAAATTAGGGAGCAAATGGACTTGGTAGGAGAAGAATAATTGGCGGAGTTTATAATTTGCAAATTTTATAGTTAAACAATGGTTTGTTTATAAAAGCAAGTCCTGAAGTCACGGCCAAAGAAGTTACTCGTGAGATGGTACTGATTAACATTGTTGATTTGATGGATAATCATAGTTTGGTTTGACCCAAAAAAAAAAAAATCATAGTTTGGTTGTAATTCTTTTGAAACCGGGCCTGCATCTTATGAAACTTTGCAGTTTAACAGAGAAGCAGGACATATAGTTGAGGAGACAAAACTGAGAGTTGCTTATCTTTGCTACGACACAAACACTATCACTTGTTCATCAAGGATCAGAAGAAGGTTTCTTATGTTTGTTGATAACGCAAATGTCTACGAATTTTTCTTTAGCTAGATTTGAGTGTAATAATTAGTAATTTCCTCTTTACTTTATTTTAGATTTTCATTCATTAGTAACACTCTTAGCGATGTCTCTTGCTATGGAGTTGGAGCTGCTTGCCACAGCTCGAAAGAGAAACTAGTAAACACAGGGTAAAACTCGATTGATTCGGTACAATATGTGTTTTAAAACTTAACTGATCTTGTATACTACAATCTCATACAAAACATCAGTGACCATCTAGATAATCATAGAGAGAATGGCCATTTTAAATATGAACTCTACCGATTGAGCCAATTTAATTACAAACTTGCTAAT